GTTAAAATATTGGAACCAAATTGCTTGCCACGGCTATCAAACTGCAAAATAGAAAAGACTACAATGCAGCTGCTATTTTTCTTATTTATTCAATGTTCAAACATAGAAATCAGATCAGTCTTTTCTCACGCAAAGCTAATGATTAATTGATTAAAATGACTAGAAAAAAATTGGGGTGCCCGTGCTCGTTAGTGAGCTATAGCCATTTTTCAACTGACAGAACTCAATATCAAAACAAATCCGCCATGTTTTCAATGTGCGCGTGCACGAACGCGCGCTGATGACACCATAAATTATGCGCAGAAAGGATGCGCAATGCAATACAGGGGAATGACCTTAAAGAGATTTTTTATTCTTTTGTTTAACAGGGCGGCGTGTGGCTGAACTGGAAATGCATCTTTTTCTGTCTCAGGTACGTGTACAATCTCTTTAGAGAAGGAATGATGGGAATGGGAGAGGAGTGCCTTCTTCCGACAACATCTATTGCCCGAGCAGAGAGTTTGCTGACAGTTGAAATTGTTGTTGTTGTTGTTGTTGTTGAATGTTTATAGTGGTCGATGCACTTAGCTACAAGTAACTAGTTTTCAGGCATGCCAATTAACCTGAGAGAAACAAATATTGCAAATAAACATAACAGGCTTAAAAATCCCAACTGGCGGGAGGCAGACTAGTTGGCTATTCACAAGCGTGACCGTGGAGTTGAACCGCCGGATTTCAAGTCCGTCGCCCTAACCACTAGGCCACGCTGCCTCCACTAATATTGTCCACTAATATTGTTATGGCTTTCTTTTCGCCTTATTACTGATGTTCGACTCGGCAATAACCAGGCGCAGGAATTCTGCGGAAAACTGAGGCTAGCCTGAAATGTCGGTCATCTTCCGTCTTCAGCCTAATCACCTGGGGATTAAGCTGAGGGTGGGAGATGACTGACATTTTAGGCTATCTGGAGGCGTAGTTCCTTAATTTTAGTGGGCTTTGTTTTCTTTTAGTTGTGTTGTGGTTAATATTTTCATCACTTTGTCTTCTTCAGGTGTCACGGAGGTTCTGGATTGAATCCCTCAATGAAGTAAAACCAGTGAGTACTGGTGTTCTAAAGCCTGACAGGGAAGTCAAGTTGGTATTTGTAGATCGCTAAGCGATCGAGAGCACTGAGAAGACGGATGAAAAATCAACTTCATCATTTTGTATAGTTATTTTACGTTACACTCGCTACCTGTGTTATTTTACATTGCGTTCGCTATGACGACCGAGAAAGAATTTCATTACTTCAAACAAACTTTTACAAGATGCCGAATGAATCTCTAGCGCGCATGGCAAGTATGGCAAACTGTGAATATCGCAGGATGTCTGTTGTGTGTAGATGATACATGTAATAGTTTTCTGTCCACACTACGCCAAAGGAATTTAAAAACCCAACAATAACCGGTCATTTGAATTTGTATTTGAGGAAAACTCGGTCAGGGAAATCACGTGATTATCGTGACGTCATCGTTTTCAAAATGTTTTCCGTCCACACGAAAACGAATAGGCGGCGTTTTCAAGTTATTCCGGTTTGAAGAGCGTTTTCGAAAAGCTCCGTTTTCGTGACGGATCAGTGTGGACGGTAGGCCTAACAGTAGAAATAAAGCTGGTTTTCAAATTTCTCCGACGTAGTGTGGACGCTGCCTCAAGCGGTAAAAATTTTCTCGTCTTTGTTTTTTTGGTAGAATGTCTCTGAAGCGTAACGTTTCCATTAGTTTGAATATGCTTCTTGAGGGTTTTCGCTGCGTGAAGGACGGTGCCTACTTTTGTTAGTGCGCACACTTTCTGCGCATCACGCAAAGCATGGTTTAAGCGCCACGCGCGCGCTGGGGTTGACATATATTGACGCCATCAACTGCGCTATCAAGTACACGACTGTACACGACTAAAATGAAGGCAACATTTTCCTACTGTGACCAAATCAAGTTGAATGAACCTGTGCTTAAACCAAAGACCACAAGAATAGCAGCATATCACTAACCAGTAACTGTTAACGTCTTCTAGCTGAAAAAATAGCTGTTATCTGTCAAAAATTAGCCTGAAATTCAGTTTTAAGAATGTACCTGCAGATGGCGTAGTGCGCGCACGAAACAAGTGCGAGATACGCAAATGTTTTACTTACTGGGGAGGTGACAGGGATAAATGTAACGGGCACCGTAAAACTTTTCAAAAATGATCAATAACTTTAAAAAACGCGTGGTTACCCCTACATTTTATGTTATGAAATGGAAGTGGCAAACTTATTCAACACGTAATTAGTTTCTGGTTGTGAGCAAAAGCTATTTAGACTGTATTTTAGCTGAACCAGAGGAAGGCTGTCAGAGATGCCAAAAGCGCTGTTGCAACGATTTTGTTACTGCATTAAAAACATACCAAAAATTGTTTTTATTTAACCATATACCATGAAGTTTTAAGATCTTTATAAATAATGTTTGCTTTTCTGTATGTAAAGGCGAATTCTAAGGAAATCTGTCAAGAAATATCCTTTCCTTTTTTTCAGAAAAATGCTGATGTCAGTATTTTTGTTGAGATTCAAGGCTAATTATCTCAAAAAAATGCGTGGCTACCCCAGTTTTTCTTTGTGGATTCCAATAGCCCTTGCAAAGATCTATGTTTTCTGCGTGGTCCTAACCTGGCGCAAAAACCTTTGTATTTAGAAGGCAGCGTCCGGCTTAAATATGTTGTCCATGTGCCACGCTACAGGCTGCTGGACAACGACAACAGCTTATCAGATCATATTTCAATTGAGCGTCGTAAAAAACTAAAACCAAAGTAATCACTCTGGCCAATCGCAAATTACAAAGACGATCCAGTGAACCAATCAAAACTCGGAGCAGATACATGAAACTGACGCAAAGCGCGGGAAAACGTGCGCGAGCGAGTTACTATTGGTTTTGGTCTTACTTCTGTTTGGATGATAAAGTGGTGCGACTTTTATGAGCCAATCGCTTGGCGTACCATTGCAAAACCAATGCAAAGGAAATGCGAATTTGCTTTTCTACACTCAAGTGAAACACTCAATTTGCACAGCATCAGTTTCACCAGAGTATAGTTATGTAGTCACTTGCATTTCTCGCATTTTCAAACGTCATTCAAACTTGACTCTAAAATATAATTACATGAGGGAGGGAGGAGGAGCTGGAGGGCAAAAGACAGCCCGGGTTGACAAGCCAAATTTCACAGGCAGGGTAACCCTACAACCTGGGACAACTTAATGCGCGTTTACACTCAAAGGGTTTGGAAACAATTAAAAAGGTAGCCCGGGTAGGCGGGTTAACCCTACCTGGAGTGTTTACAAGGGAAAAAGTTAACCGCCTGCCAGGGTAACCCTAGCACGCAGATAGGGTAACCCGCCTACCCGGGTAACCCTAGCTGCCTTGTAAACACGACGAAGAATAAAAGGGGAAATGTGTGAGTGCTAGGGTAACCCGCTTGTTAAGGTAGCCCGCTTGCCAGAGTAACCCTCCCTCCTCGTAAACAGGCCCTTAATCAGTCTCCAGCAGTTTCTTTTTTCTTTTCCTTCGTCTTAAACCAGCGAGCAAATTACCCACCCAACCATGTTGTATTCGTAAGTGTTCAGTCCCCCGGTTTCTGTTTCCTTCCCACACTAATTGCTGGTTTTCAGGGTCACGCAATTCAAAATAGATCAAAATAAATATCAAAACGGGTCAATGGATAAAGTCCAGAATCTGGGAAATGAAAGAAGGTAAATATGCAAAGACTCTCGCCAAAATTCTGGTCACAGCAATTTGTCTTATGCGAGATATGCGGATAATTTTTTTACCCAAATTTATAGAGATTTGTATGGAGACGCCATGCTGGTGCCCATCCGTATGGGCACCAACATGGCGGCCGGAAACCAACAGAAACATCTGTCACTGAGTTTCACTACAAAAACGTGAATTTATCCCTCGAGGAACTCTAAAACATTAAAAAAAAATACTTTTTCTAAGACATGAACTGTTCAGATAGCCAAGTTCCCCGAAATAAGACACGTTTTTAACCATCATGACAGCTCTCTAGGCCGTCACGTAAATGCCGCGTCACGCAAAAGCTTAGAAATTCAAGCGTAGTGTATCACAAAACTAAAAACCCATTCGGAGCGAAAATTTGTATGACTATTAGTTTTCAGCTGCTTTTATACATCATTTAAGTAAAATCTCAGGAAGATCAATAGTTTTGTAGTTCGAATTTTAGTGACGTCATGTGAAAACCAGCTATACCAGGACCCATAGCAAGTTGGGATCTTTCTCTTCCTTTTTCTTTTAATTTTATTAATTTTAGTTCCCTGTATTCACGCGTAGCTCTTATGCCCAAAACCTGATCATGGTATCCTGAAAACTTGAATGCCACGTTTCTTATTACACGTATTACACGTACATGTAATTTCCGCGTTTCGCTGTGATATTCGCTTATCACCAGCTCTCCTCGGTTAACTTCCTGTTTTGACCAGAAGACTAGAACTGTCCCTGAACGAACTGATCGTCATGACTTTTAAGTTTGGTATCCGTACATCTCTCGCCTTTCAAGGTCTCCAGAGATATAAACAGCCTTTAAAGTTCGGTCATCAGAGTTCAATTCGCTTACAGCAAACGCAAGCCGTGGAAAATGCGGAGGTGAAACCATACAACGAAATCCCAGGTCCGAAGGGATTGCCTTTCGTTGGAACGCTATTCGACTACGTCCGTGATAAAGGTCACACAAAAATACATCAGATTCAACAAGATCGAGTTCAGCAGTATGGGGAGATTTATCGAGAGAAAATCGTGGATTATGACACGGTTACAATCTCTAATCCGGACGACATAGAATATTTGTTTCGTAACGAAGGAAAATATCCACAACGGGAACCAATGTTTCCACTTTGGACGAAGTACAAGGAAGACCAAAAGCAAGTTCACGGGGTGTCCAGCTTGTAAGTGACTATTTTGCTGTCTATTGTTCGTTGCTGTAGACTGTGAATCAATCGTAATAAGATTTCTTACTCTAGAGTACATCATGTGCTGGTTGTGACCTTTCTCATGTACAGCTAGCCTGCGTCGCAGACAGTCTAAACCGCCGGTATAGTCCGTCTGCGCAACGGCTCCCAAAAGCTTGTTCTGATATTCCACAGTTTGTTTATCCATTTTTGATTGACTAGTTTCTTACGCACTTTCTGATTGAATAATTCTTGCGAAAGCGATCACGCAACTATCACCTAATGCTAAAAATAATTGTGTGCGGGTTTCCCAAGAACATTTTTACATCTACTTCAAGTTGGAAATAAGATGTCTGCAATAACAGAGGAAGATTG